GAGCTTACGGCCATATTATGTTGAAACCTAAGATCTCATCAAGTTAGCAAAATTAAGCATCGTCAATCCTAGTCAGTAGCTTGATGGCTTGATCACTTCGAATACCAAGTGCTATAAGCTTGGATGTGCGGGTGGTGTGAAGGCTTGAAATGAGAAGTCGGAATCCGAGTTCGAATTGCAGTTGGGTTCGTTACATTCACTTATTCTTTTAAAGATATGAATCCATTTCTTCTCCCTAGATATGGGTTAAATAGAAGAACATGTATCTGAAAATAATTATTATCTCCAAAAAATTGTTAATACATTATTCACTCTCAAACAAAAAAATTATTCTTATAATTAAAAAATATTTCGACTGTAAATCAGCTCAGTATCTGTCTATATTTCTCTGATGGGGTATTATGTACACTATTTACATTATTCGGACTGTTGTCTTTGTCGCCATATTTATTACAATGTTTCCGCCCTTCAGTATCTGTGTATATGTCTGAGATGAGGTATTATGTACATTATATACAGTATTCGGACTATTTTAAAATTAAAATTGTAGGTGAAAATAGTCATTAACTAAAGGTATCTTAATTCCAATTGTAGAGTGTATATACATATATATATATATATATATATATATATATATATATATATATATATATATATATATGAAAATATATAGAAAATAGGAAAGAACTCGTTAGGTAAATAATCCAAAGTTCTTTAGCATTTTTGTTATTATTTTTAAAAAATAGGGCTCGATACAAAAATAGAGCATAAATATAATTATTTATTTAAAAATATGATTCCAACGCTACATAAGAGTTCTCATGTTTCAAAACAAGGGCCGAAAACTTCAATATAATTATTTGAATTAAATTGAATTAAAGTACTAAGCTCTGTTCCATCTTCAAGCGAAATTTATATATATATAGTTAAATTTCATTGGTTGCCTTGATAAAGTCGGAAGACGAAATTTCGGCGGCAAGAACTAAGAATTTTTTACATTTCTCATTTTTAAACCATATATATATATATATATATATATGTATGTGTGTGTGTGTGTGTGTGTGTGTGTGCATGTATATATTAATAAAATATATATACATATAAAATATAAAAAATATATAAAATATAAAAAATAAAAGTTTACTGGATCAGAGAAATGAATTAGCTATTTTTTGCCATCATTGTCAAAAATTATTCTTACATAATATTTAAAAATAAAATTTAAAATAAAAATGTGAGCTGGTAATATACATACTTATACTTAATATGGGAAAAATAATTTTATATACTGTAAGTCATTCTAGTACATTTACTTGTTTTGAAAGAAATATAGTCTATTAAAAATATTTTCGTAAAAATATTTTAAAATTGTAGTTAAATAAAACGTATTCTAACCTAAACTTCCCCAAAAAAATCTTTAAGTATACAAATAGAGAAAATACCGTAAAAATTTTTGCCGTTTACAATAAAATTTTTAAAAACCCGAGACGACATGCATTTAATGGATGTCAAAATTCATTGAAAAATACATCTCTAACCTACCTAAACATAACCCCTTTTTCAAACGTAACTAATAACTGATACAACAAAAGTTAATGAAAATGAACACGCAACCACCCCTTGTCTGAATGATTGGATTTCCGTGTATCCTTGGGAACGGTGAATTATGAATTTTTGTGTGCGTTTAAAACTCAGTAAATTTAAAAAAAATAAATTACTCAAAAATTCGCTTGAGGATGAAATGGAACTAATGTTTTTAATTTAATTACAAAATTAAATTTGATGCTTTTAGCTTTCATTTTTGAAACATGGTTATTACTTTGTAGCGAAAAAAATCATATTTTAAATCAGTTAATATATATATATATATATATATATATATATATATATATATATATATATAATCTGACGTATACCCAACTGACCATAACTATAAATTTCTAGCGCGCTAATACACACGCAGACATCATATATACACGCAAAAGCAGACATATTTTCTGAAATAATCTTACATAGAAACTTTAGAAGTTATACGTTTGATCGTGAGAGTGAAAGAAAGAATTAGAGAGAAAGAGTGAATGGGGGAGAGAGAGAGAGAGAATAATTGCGTGTGTAATTTAGTGTCTCCCCTCTCTCTGCACTTTCATAATTTCAATGTCCTCTACACAAAGACAGTCGGATCGCCTATCTCGAAGTAATCAACTTCTATTCACAAGTACATAAGAGATGCTGATCAC